GTAAGAAACAGCATGGAGGATGGAAGACACTTGGTCACACAGCATTCACTTTCTCTGCCACAGAGTCCTGTGAGTGCAGGTTCTGCAGGGCCTCTTGCAATCAGCTTATTTTCCACCAAAGAACTAGATACTTGCAAGTCAGTGTAACAGAAGAATTTTAATAAACTTGGTTTTCGTACACGGCTGTTAGGAAACATTGTTCAAGTTAGGTCATAGTGGATGATGTATAACCTCATTTTCAGTGGCCCACAAGCCAGCAAGAAGAGGTATCCATGGGATTTTAAAGATGACCCTCAACTTTAAGGATCATCTTCAGAAACTTCCACACCAGAAATCGCTTCTTATCTAGCCTGATTAAATAGTAGTGTTCTACTATCTTAGAAGGTTGTTCTCTTTGAGCTTCAGGGATGGATACTCACACAGCAAGGAGAGAGCAAAGAGACCCCCTTCTTGAGAACCAGAACATTATCATCAATGAGATGATGATGGATGTTGCAGCCTGACACCGTCTTACCTTGGAAGTCACTGTAGTTTTGGCATTTTGAGATGAAGTTCTTTTTGTCTAATCAATACATCAAGTATATAAAAATCCATGAGTTCATAATGATGCTAAATGGGTCACTTGAAGTACCTCATTCTAGCAATATTTTGAAGAAAGAATAAAATGAGTAGGTATTTTCTTAAATCTAGTGTTTCTCAAAATTTAACATGTACATGGATCACCTGGAGATCTTGTTAAAATGCAGATTCTGGTTCAGTAGATCTGGAATGGGCCTGAGATTCTGCATTTCCAATGAGCTCTCAAGTGATCTCTGTGAACCACACTGTGAAGAGTGAAGCCTTAATCCCCTATTACTTTAGCCTTCCTTGCTTGGTTAGGATAGTCATCCTGAAGATAATCAAGTAGCCCTGGTCCCACAGTTTGAGAGCTGTGAATCTTCAGTGACACTATTGGGTCAGATTACCTTCTCTGTTCTTTGAGAGTATCATGAGGGTTCCTTTAAAAATAACGAGAGTATAAAGGTTTTAGATGTAATGCTTTTTCCTTTACATGCATTCTATTTAATAGATAAAATAAAAAGATAGATAAACAAAGTCTTGCCATATAGTAAGAAAATGAGATAACAAGAGTTCACGAGTAATTTCCATGTTGGAGGAGGGAAGTTTGTCTGAAAAGTGATCCATTTTTAATAGAGGTTATAGGTTATCAATTGGAGGTTTTTCAATATTTTAAAGTTAAGATACAGAATGATAAAGAATGTGTTGTTCCAAGCAGAAAAATGATAGTAATTACACTAAGCTACAAATAATGTTTGGGTCCACTGAAATTAATAAATTACAATCAAGTAGGCTGACTGACTCATTCATTCATTCATCCAGTGATTCAATAAATTATTTTTTGAATGCTTTTTATATCCAAAGATCCATGCTGGGCTTTGAAGGTGCACAAAGAGAAATCAGCCACAGACACTGCATTCAAGTTTATAATCTAGTACACAGGTAAGTGTCTGATTATTTGGGATGAAGTACACTTATGGTAAATAGAATTTTTACAAGATCACCTTAACTACATAAAACTCTTGCAGCAACCTTGGGTGAACTTTAATATCTCTCACAGCATGGTGAAAAGCAACAGAGCTGTGGTTTTAATTCAGCATCACCTTCAGTATTTGAAAGTACAATTTGTATTGTGAAAAACAGGTTTGTGTATCTTGTGAAACACCTCCACTTTCTATTTTATTAATAGAAAATAAAAGCTTCTCATTTATCCTAACAAAAACCTCACTGACTTTCTTAAAATTAGGAGCTTCCCCTAATTACTGAAATTCAGTACAACAGCTTCAGTCTCAACTGGGAGAATGTTAGAAATGCAAATTCTTGAGGCCCTATCCCAGACCCATGGGTTCAGGAACTCTGGGGTGGACCAGAGCAAACTGTCTTAAGACTTTCAGTGGATTTTGGTGCATGCTTGTTAGAGAACTATGCATCTAAAAAAGATTTAAAAAAAAAATAAAAAAAAATAGGGGAACAGGGTCTATAAGAGAATAAAAAACGTAAGAGACATAAAACCAAAATAAAACCAAATGCCATGGTGGATTACACTATTGATACCCTGAATATTTATTTTAACCCCATTTAAAAATAACCGTAGGACTCATTAGTACTGTAGCAAAAGGAGGCATTAAGTTTATATACACTTTTAATTTTTAAGGTCTTAGTGGTTTGATTCTTACAGAAATTAGAGGAGGGCCAGGATTGCTTTTCCTCATAGTTGGTGCCTTCCTTCTGTCTTGCTCTCCCTGTTCTCCCTTCCCCTCCATTTGCAGCTCTTCAAACAGACCCCTGAGCTAGTCAGAAGAGTCATCAACAAGAAACTAACAAATACACCAGGAAATGTTACTTACATTATGTTTATGACAGAAATTAAGAGCTTGAAGTGTTTGCCATAATACACTTTTGATCACTCCATCGGCCACTCTGGGGAAGAAAATAAAACAGGCAGTTGAAAACACCGAGGCTCCAGGGGCAGCGGCTGGAAACAGAAGTGGGATGGGTAGGGCTTGTTGTGGTCAATGATCACAGTGCAAAGGGTACCTTGGGCATATTTTTTAAGAAGGATTTTCAATGAAAATTTGCTTCACTACTTTTTATTTAGTTACATAATTTTCTTTTGTAATTNCACTTCACTGTAGTTTCTGCCTCCACCATCCTACTGAAGTGGCACTGGCTGTTCACACCTGTGACCTCAACTTCAATTTCCTTAAATCCAGGAGATGTTTTGTGTGCTCTTCTCAATAGTGTCAGACACTATTGACCACACCCTCCTTCTTGAGACTCTCCCTTTGGCTTCTCTGAGGCTTCTCTTTCCTTCCTCCCACCTCAGGACCACTCCCTTTCAAGCCAGCCTTTGCTAGTTTATCTTCTTCTCCACAGTGGCTGGATGGAATTCCTCAAGGCTCAAATCCAAGGTGCCCCTTTCTTCTACCCGTTTCTACCTAATCTCACTGAAACTCCATGGCTTCAGTTATCAAGGTTTACCAGAGACTTCCATGTATATTTCTGGTCCAGACCTCTCCGCTGAACTCCAGACCCACAAACGCAATGGCCTGCTTGCCATCTGTGCTTCATCTCAAGGGCACTGTTGTGGGTTGAATTGTCCCTTCCCACCCCCACCCCTGACAAATATACGTTGAAAATCCAACCCCCACTGCCTCAGAATGTGACCTTATTTGGAAATAGGGTCTTTGCAGAGGTAGTAAGTTAATATGAGGTCACACTGGAGTGGGGTGAGCCCCACTCCAATGTGATTGTGGTCCTTCTAAGAGGGACGCCAAGGCACAGGCAGGCACACAGAGAGAACACCGTGTGGAGACAGGCAGGGACCACATGCAGGTACCTCATCTCTGCCACCCTCCCCTACTTCACCCCCCAGATCTAAACCATAACTAAGACCTATCAGTTATGTTTCCAATTACACCTTGAAGTCACACTTCCTTGTACAGGCTTTCAATCTATTGAAGTCTAGTCTACTGAATATCTATGGGTTTTAAAAATTTTTTATATTTTTTATTTAAAACATTTTTAAATTGACATACAATATCCTATTAGTTTCAGGTGTATATCATAGTGCACTGACAATTTTATACATTAGGAAATAATCCCCATAAGTCTAATAACCATATGTCACCATACAAAGTTGCTACAATATTATTGATTTTATTCCTTATGCTGTACATGACATCCCCATGACTTATTTATTTTATAACTGGAAGTTTGTACCTCTTTACCTATTTCACCCACCTCCCCAACCTTTCCCTCACTATGGGTTTTTATGTTAAAGAGCATTTTTAAATTCTAAGAAGAGATTGCTAATGCTGAGCTGCTCCACAGGGCCTGGGCTGGAACAACGTCCTGCTTGATTAGTTTCAGGAGCACTGAGGTGTACACCCTGGACAGCGACCAGCACTGGCACAAAGGCTGGCTACAAAGTTGACTGTAAATCATCCAGATGGCTCCACCTTCTAGATCCAAGGAGTTTCAAACTGGGCTGTATCATAATCACCTAGGGGGATGTTTAAAGATACAAATCCCACCATCTTATTTATAGATTCTGCTTCTGTAAATCTGAGATTAGATACTAGAATGTGTATTTTTAAAAAGCTCATTCTGATGAATAGTATGGAAACCACTGCTACAGACAGAACTTAATTGGTTGTTAAAGACAGATACCTGGTATCTTCATCCCCACCCCAATAAAGGCTTTAGGTATCTGTGCTGGATGGAAAAGTCACACCTGGCACGCCCTCAGCTGGTCAAGCCTGAATGGCAGACTCGCCATAGGTGAGTTTCTTCTGCTTTGTATTCAAATTTGTACTTTGTTTGACTATCTCTTTTGGGCCTGGTGCAGGGGCTAGATCAGCTATCTGCATGGCTCTGACTTTGCCTGGTCTAGTAATTTTTTTAAAAACTAAAAATTTTATTTATCCCAATGTATCCAAAATGTTATCAGTTCAACATGTAATTAATGTGTTAAAATTAATAAAATATTTAATATTCTTTTTCATAGTAATTGTCATAGAAATCTAGTACATTTCAATTCTATTTAGCCATGCTTAATACTAACATGTAGCTAGTAGCTATCATATTGGACAGTACAATTCTAGACCTTCAAACTGATGGAGTACATTCATCCTCATAAATTTCTATAGTCTGAATATACTGACTTAACAGTCAAATTTCTTAGTAAATACAAAGAAAATAATGGGGTTTATCACAGCAAACACTAATTATATTTTTTCATCTTCTAGTTTTAATGGATTTATTAGAAAGATTACTGCTTAAACCACTGATACTCCTTTAATTGTAATTATTTTATAATTCCTTATAATTTTCAGTGGCTACATGGCACCTTATTTGCCTAGTGTCCACCCCTCCCAGAGTTACCAGCTTTAATCATTACAATTTGCAGTCAATAATGGTTATAATCAATTCTTAAGTACCTTCATGAAACTCAAAGCCACAGGATGCACTTCTGAGAACTTTTCTTCAAGAGTTTCCTAGAAATACAAAGTAAAGAATCTCAGTGTTACATATGCACTAATGTATATTTTGAATATATTAGTAGTAAGAACACTTTGGAGAAAGACCTCCTTGTAGGTTAGATAATTCCTTTTAAAGATTTTAAAATCATATTTTTACATAAATTTAACTACAGTGAAAAGCTTTGAAAGACAAAAACTGAAGTTTTTTTCTTAATTTCACAACATCTTGCAACTGATGCTCAGTAAACGTGGGCTCCAAATGTCCCCTTCTGAAATCCTACAACAGTACTATAATATCTGCCTAATCTACATATAGGGATGCTTTGAGCATTACTGAAAACATGATGAACTACATGCGCAAGAGCACTACAGAAAGCGAGAGGATGACCAACACAAATTCAGAATGGAAAGGAGGGACCGAGGGGGGGATTATATGGGGAGGAGAAAGCTCCAAAGACAATGGTAGTATTTTTCTTCCTTCACTAGGCAGCAGATACATGTGAATTATATTTTATTCTTTAAATCAAACATGTTATATACTCTTTTGTAATTCAACTTCTAGCCTTGTGACTCAATTTTAAACCTTTTATTATATTTGTTAAAAGCTTTTATGAAGGTACTTAAGAATTGTAGTCATTGATGCATTTCCAAAGAAAGACGAAGATCACAGGAGTGTAGAGGTGGCCGTGATGGTTTAAGGTTTCGATTTAGATACAATGAGGATCATTTTGTAGCATGACCTTCCATGTAAAATGTATGTTGTGAAGACATGGTTTTTATTGATTTGAGCTTTGTTTCACAAACTGAAAAAATAATGCATTTTTTTCCAAAATAAAGACTACAGTAAGTACTGTTTATGAGACCATAATTATTTTAGGGAAAGGCACCCAAGTGTTTTGACTAAAAGGATTAAGATATTTATGTAAGGAACTAAATGTACTTTCACTTCAAATTTAACATTAAATTGATATTTGAACAGACAGGGCAAGTAAACTCTTAAAGCATTCTCTTGGTTCATTTTATATAGTTTTTATGTACTTTCTTCGATCTGTGGCAATGTGTCATAAGGAAAACAGGAGCCAAACGCATAGGTATAATAAAAGAAATGACTACCCCTTCAAAGAAAGTAGCAGCAAAATAATAAAACAGTCAAAATTGAGCAGTTTACCATGTCTTCTGGTTCAGGAATACTGATGCCGTGGAAAAATTGGTTACTTTTAAAGATAGATTGGTGTCTTGGGATTAGTTTTCCTGTAAAATGTAAACAATATAACTCATAATATTTTAGTTAAAATAACAGTGTTTAAATGGTTAACGTCTTAGGTCCAGTTGTGAAAGAAACACTGAGCTTGATCATTCCCTTCAGATTTGGGTGGAATGGGTCACTGAAAAAAAATAAGGTCACTCTTCCCATGCAACTCTCTTTGCTGCGTGTGGTTCGGCCTGCCACTCAGCCTCTACTGAAAGAGGAGGACTTTGCACACGTGATCTCTTAACAATCTCAGTAGGATGCTATTTTTATTTCCACTGTACCAATGAGGAAAATGAGGCTCAGAGGCTTAATAACTTGCTTAAAGTCACACCGTCATTAAGTGACAGTCCCAGGATTCAAACTCAGGTCTAACATCTGCCTAATGTAAGTTTCCACGGTCCTTTTAGGAAATCAGCAAACAATACACACTTAAGGTTTGGCCTGTAGTGATACTCTATCCCACACTTCTCCAGAGGAATGTGTGGGAACCACACAGGAAACTGCATCGGGCTGGACAGCAGTAGTTCCCTTGCCCAGCAGCCATGCCTCCAGGAGAGCCTATGGGAAGGAATTAATAAATTCCCATCCTGTGTAGATGTACCACTTTCTTTGCATGTATGCTGCTGGCATCAAGCTGGAGCTAACCTTTTAGGTTAAGTTCTCTTCCAACCAGGTGGAAGTAGACAGCTGCTGAGGACACTGACACATGGCGAGAGCTCATGACAGACACCCCTTGGGAGCCACCCTATTCCTGTTCTGCACTGACCTGGTTTTATGACTTTAGGCCCACCACGGAAGCTCCCTGAGCTTCAGTTCCCTCATTTCTGTTAAAGGCATAATTTAAAATATTACAATGTCTTAATTTTTTTTCTTAGAAGACTGAAAGAGATGACTTGTGTGAAAGTAATTTGTAAATTCTTAAGTACTCTTCAGAGCAGCTGAGTCGACGATGTGTAGCAGAGACTGTATAGCCCATAAAACCTAAAATAGTTACCCTCAGGCCCTTTACAGAAAGAGTTCGCTGATCAGAGCTCTAGAGTACAACCCCCGTCCCACCCCCGCTTTTACAGTGGGCAGAAATTGCATTTGAGCAAATAGCTCTTAGAGTAAGCTCCCTGCAGCTGACTCATATCCTTATCCCCATCTTAGCCTGAAATGGAAAGTAAAGGGTAGCTTACTCTGTGGCTAATTGCCTTGACTTAGAAAGGCCTCTGAAGACTTCTGAGAGGAGTTCTCTACATTAGGAGAGAATGGTTGGGCTTTGGCTACAACCCAGAACAACCATCCTGAGTAGCACTTTAGAGAAGCAAGAAAGCTCTTGTTATTACAGTGACATACTATTACTACACCAATTCAACAACTCTGTAAGCCAAAAAATGTAACTCATACCTAGTGTTCTGATTATCAGATAAAGTTGGTCCACATCTGATTTTCCAGGCCAGAGTGGCTGGCCTGTCAGAAGCTCTGCAAAAACGCAACCAGTAGCCCATACATCTACGGAAGAACCATACTGAGTGTCTCCCACAAGAAGTTCAGGAGCTCGGTACCATCTCGTAGCCACATAATCAGTGTAGGCATCCCCTGGAACTGCAGACACGTCAATCAGATCAGGTGGGTCACATTCTCACAACGCATGAGCTACTCCCAAGAGCAGGTGAGGCATTTGAGAACTCTCAAAGGCCATGAAACTCTTAACAAGTAAAGCAGTGAGGCATGGATAGGGCAAGCAATCACACTGTGCACTCAGTAAATTCAACTTCCAAAGGGACCTTAGCTAGTTAACATCTCTATAATCCAAAACAGAGAGGAGGCAGGCATGAAATTTCTGTAGTCTAACTTAAAGCCTAAATGCACTTCCAAATACATTGTCAAGTTCACTTGTGTCTGGGTCCTGTCAGGACACTGATTATGTACACACCTACCTGCAACATGTACTTTGCTAATACATGTTTTTGCCTGCTACACGGTTCTAGATTCAATAAGAAATATGTGTCCCCCTTTCCCTTTGGTTCTTCCCTGTCTGGGATAATTTCCTTTGTGTTAACACTGTCTCTGAATCTCTCCAATTTTCAGTTTAGAACTCTTCTAGTCTTACCAGCTCTGAGAGTTTTCCCAACCATTCTAGCCCACATTAGTATCTCCCTCCCGGGAACCGTCTGCACCTTCGCTTTGGTACTTTATTGCCAACAATCTTGTATTATTGTCTTGTTTCTTTTGCTTCAGATTATAAGTGCATGAGGAGCAGAAATGCATTTCATAATTTGTTTCCTCTCTTAAAGGGCAAAGCACATACACATGACATCCAGTAAATTCTAGTTGAGTGGAGTGGAGGTGAAGTACAAACGAATGTACTGACTAAATGCTTAAAGTGAAATCTTCCTTTGTAAGTAAAACAAGATAACATTTACCATGCTTTCAATATCTAAGAACTTAAACAATATCACCTCATAATCATCTCAATTGGATAAATTAGTAAAAAATTGCTACTTACTCAGAATTCGTGCAAACCCGAAGTCACAGATCTTGATTATTCCTTGCTTAGTTATCAGAATATTTTCAGGTTTTACGTCTCTGTGAATACACTGTAAAATAATATTGGATTGCTTCTCAGAGCCATCAAAATGACAAAGCATAATAGACAATTAACTTTAATTTTAACAATAAACACAGCCTGTAAGAGAATAATATGGTTTTCATTTTTCTAAAACAACTAAAATTGTAAAATTTTCACTTGTAAATCTTATCGTGCCAAAAGAAAAAAAATCAAAATATCGTTGTATTAGCAAAGCAATTAAAATTAGGATTGTTTCATATAAAATCTGTGTCTGACTTTTTTTCCTTGAGAAGGACGTATCACACAATGATTTCCCACACTTTTTACTGGCTCTACTTAAACTGTAAGGGGTAAAACCCTAGATGAGATCAGGCTCAATGTACTTCTGATAGGAACTGCCGCCCCCTAAGAACCCCCATTCAGGCTGAATAAGTACTGCCATGTGGGAAACTGGAAACACATTTGAGTAATAACAGAAAACAAAATTCACTTATAATTAGTGAATTATTTATCATCCAAACTGGGATGAGTAGAAGGGAGCTCTATTCATAATTACTCTGGGACAACGGCCAACCCACCACTGGCCTGAGCGGGCTGGGATGTGTGGTCACATATATCAAGAGATACCAAAGCATTTGGCATCCGGGGTGAGTGTCACTGTGATTTCCTCAACACTACGCGAGCCTGGAGCGACGAGCAGCTCTCCTGCGAGGTGACTGCACAGGTTGCTGCGGCGCCTTCCTCGAGGGCAGGACACGCCGGGAGGCGGGGTCACCTCAGAGAAGCTCCCGTCGTTCTTGCGTGTGCAGACGCCTCAAGGAGCGCTGCGTCCAGATGACCCGAACCACAGGCGCTCCTTGCGGGACGGGAGAGGGCTACGCTGGGGGCGCAGACGGAGGCGGACCGCGGGAGCCCCGCACAGCTCTTCCAAAGATGCTGTTCTATGCCTGGGAGGCCCCAGGGAAAAAACAACTCAGTCCCTATTCTTTAGAGCCTATCTTTCCAATTTATTCTCCCTCCAAACTGCCAGATAAAACCGATGTTGATTTTCCACAGCTCAGCGCTCACCTAGAGCTCTGCACTTTTCAATGTGCATCATTTCCTTCTCACAGAGGTCCCTGACTGCAGGTGGCCACCGTCGGAGCCTCGGGGTTAAGTGTCAGAACAGTCAGCCCCTCTTGGCTCACTTCTCTGCTGTGCTGTTGATTCCTTTACATATTCCTGCCACACTGACAATTCTGAAATACTTTTTCGTTGTGACTATAGTAGCTATATAGGAAGAGAAAAAGTTGAGTCTGAAATTCATTTAGGCCAAAAAAAAGGTGCTGTTAATAAAAGCTTGTTCCCAGGTAGTCTCAATTATTGTCAACTGTATCCTAATTGGTCTGACCAACAGAAGAAACATTTTTATGCCTCTAAAAGGTCCTAAGGCCTTTGATGCTAATTTAAAAAATACACTGCTGTACTATAAACCAACATAGTTCTGATATCATACCTTTTAGGCAACTCTATTATAAAACTTGGATTAACACTCTGAGTCATACTCATGACAGTTGGTGACTAAGGACAGGTTATGTTCCTCAAATATTTGAGTTTGCATCAAATCTAAAATTCCTAGACTATCTGTGGCACTGCCAGGTAAATGGGCTTACACTGATATTGTCTATTAGCCTATTTAAATATTGGATCTAAGCAAATGATGTGAAATTTATGGCAACTTATTTCCCAACCAAGAAATACAAATATGTCCCAAAGAAACAGAAAAATTATTGGTGTAGGTACAAGGTAAGAGAAGCTACTAATAAAGTGGGATAGGATACTGAAGAAGGAAAAAGAGTAAAAATTACTGGAACAGTAAGAAACAGCATGGAGGATGGAAGACACTTGGTCACACAGCATTCACTTTCTCTGCCACAGAGTCCTGTGAGTGCAGGTTCTGCAGGGCCTCTTGCAATCAGCTTATTTTCCACCAAAGAACTAGATACTTGCAAGTCAGTGTAACAGAAGAATTTTAATAAACTTGGTTTTCGTACACGGCTGTTAGGAAACATTGTTCAAGTTAGGTCATAGTGGATGATGTATAACCTCATTTTCAGTGGCCCACAAGCCAGCAAGAAGAGGTATCCATGGGATTTTAAAGATGACCCTCAACTTTAAGGATCATCTTCAGAAACTTCCACACCAGAAATCGCTTCTTATCTAGCCTGATTAAATAGTAGTGTTCTACTATCTTACAAGGTTGTTCTCTTTGAGCTTCAGGGATGGATACTCACACAGCAAGGAGAGAGCAAAGAGACCCCCTTCTTGAGAACCAGAACATTATCATCAATGAGATGATGATGGATGTTGCAGCCTGACACCGTCTTACCTTGGAAGTCACTGTAGTTTTGGCATTTTGAGATGAAGTTCTTTTTGTCTAATCAATACATCAAGTATATAAAAATCCATGAGTTCATAATGATGCTAAATGGGTCACTTGAAGTACCTCATTCTAGCAATATTTTGAAGAAAGAATAAAATGAGTAGGTATTTTCTTAAATCTAGTGTTTCTCAAAATTTAACATGTACATGGATCACCTGGAGATCTTGTTAAAATGCAGATTCTGGTTCAGTAGATCTGGAATGGGCCTGAGATTCTGCATTTCCAATGAGCTCTCAAGTGATCTCTGTGAACCACACTGTGAATAGTGAAGCCTTAATCCCCTATTACTTTAGCCTTCCTTGCTTGGTTAGGATAGTCATCCTGAAGATAATCAAGTAGCCCTGGTCCCACAGTTTGAGAGCTGTGAATCTTCAGTGACACTATTGGGTCAGATTACCTTCTCTGTTCTTTGAGAGTATCATGAGGGTTCCTTTAAAAATAACGAGAGTATAAAGGTTTTAGATGTAATGCTTTTTCCTTTACATGCATTCTATTTAATAGATAAAATAAAAAGATAGATAAACAAAGTCTTGCCATATAGTAAGAAAATGAGATAACGAGAGTTCACGAGTAATTTCCATGTTGGAGGAGGGAAGTTTGTCTGAAAAGTGATCCATTTTTAATAGAGGTTATAGGTTATCAATTGGAGGTTTTTCAATATTTTAAAGTTAAGATACAGAATGATAAAGAATGTGTTGTTCCAAGCAGAAAAATGATAGTAGTTACACTAAGCTACAAATAATGTTTGGGTCCACTGAAATTAATAAATTACAATCAAGTAGGCTGACTGACTCATTCATTCATTCATCCAGTGATTCAATAAATTATTTTTTGAATGCTTTTTATATCCAAAGATCCATGCTGGGCTTTGAAGGTGCACAAAGAGAAATCAGCCACAGACACTGCATTCAAGTTTATAATCTAGTACACAGGTAAGTGTCTGATTATTTGGGATGAAGTACACTTATGGTAAATAGAATTTTTACAAGATCACCTTAACTACATAAAACTCCTGCAGCAACCTTGGGTGAACTTTAATATCTCTCACAGCATGGTGAAAAGCAACAGAGCTGTGGTTTTAATTCAGCATCACCTTCAGTATTTGAAAGTACAATTTGTATTGTGAAAAACAGGTTTGTGTATCTTGTGAAACACCTCCACTTTCTATTTTATTAATAGAAAATAAAAGCTTCTCATTTATCCTAACAAAAACCTCACTGACTTTCTTAAAATTAGGAGCTTCCCCTAATTACTGAAATTCAGTACAACAGCTTCAGTCTCAACTGGGAGAATGTTAGAAATGCAAATTCTTGAGGCCCTATCCCAGACCCATGGGTTCAGGAACTCCGGGGTGGACCAGAGCAAACTGTCTTAAGACTTTCAGTGGATTTTGGTGCATGCTTGTTAGAGAACTATGCATCTAAAAAAGATTTAAAAAAAAAATAAAAAAAAATAGGGGAACAGGGTCTATAAGAGAATAAAAAACGTAAGAGACATAAAACCAAAATAAAACCAAATGCCATGGTGGATTACACTATTGATACCCTGAATATTTATTTTAACCCCATTTAAAAATAACCGTAGGACTCATTAGTACTGTAGCAAAAGGAGGCATTAAGTTTATATACACTTTTAATTTTTAAGGTCTTAGTGGTTTGATTCTTACAGAAATTAGAGGAGGGCCAGGATTGCTTTTCCTCATAGTTGGTGCCTTCCTTCTGTCTTGCTCTCCCTGTTCTCCCTTCCCCTCCATTTGCAGCTCTTCAAACAGACCCATGAGCTAGTCAGAAGAGTCATCAACAAGAAACTAACAAATACACCAGGAAATGTTACTTACATTATGTTTATGACAGAAATTAAGAGCTTGAAGTGTTTGCCATAATACACTTTTGATCACTCCATCGGCCACTCTGGGGAAGAAAATAAAACAGGCAGTTGAAAACACCGAGGCTCCAGGGGCAGCGGCTGGAAACAGAAGTGGGATGGGTAGGGCTTGTTGTGGTCAATGATCACAGTGCAAAGGGTACCTTGGGCATATTTTTTAAGAAGGATTTTCAATGAAAATTTGCTTCACTACTTTTTATTTAGTTACATAATTTTCTTTTGTAATTTGAAAATTTCAGATTTGTCAAAATGATACATGCTTACACAAAAATCTGAATATAGATAAGGAATAAAGTGTTGACTCAAATCTTGCTCCCCACAAATAACTGTCATTTACTGTGACTGTCCCTGTAGGCATCTCTGTTTCTCTCCCCTCTCTGTCTCTCTCTGAATTGACTTTTTAACTTTAACTTTAAAGACATGTATTCATATGGTTCAAAATTCAGAAAGTATGAAAGTATATTCATGAGAACTCTCTCTCCTACCTGCTCTGTCACCCATTTCATCTTCTGCAACGTCTCCTGCCTCTTTGGGAAACATTTTTTGCAGAGAGGAATAGATATTAATATGTTTATGTATAGAGTTGACCCTTATACAAAGTGGGGTTTAGGGGTACCCACTGCTCCCTCCCTGTCCCAAAAATCCCTATATAACTTCTGGCTCTTCCAAACTTAACTACTACTAATCTTACTGATGACATAAACAGAGGATTAAAACATTTTGTATGTTGTATTACATACTGTATTTTTATAATAAAGCTAGAGAAAAAAATTTTTTCAAATTGACGAAAATATCCAAAATACATTTATTGAGAAAATCTGCATATAAGCAGACCCATGTAGTTCTAACCTGTTTTGTTCAAGGGCCAAGTGTATTTTGGTGACTATAGAGGGTCTCATTGTATGGATATGTTATGTCATAATTTATTTACTTAGTCCCATCAATGAGCAATTAGGTTGACCCACTTTTTAATTTCTATTACTAGAAACAACCTTTCGATGAATATCTGTAATCAGCCATCCTATTGTAGTTGTGTGATTATCTTTCTAAGTTCTAGAAGTGAGATTTCTGGGATCAATGATAGCCATATGTTACATTTGATCCTATAAGTTTGAACTTCATGACCTGGTTTTGAAGGAAAAAGGCATCCTTGAAATCTGACCTTCAATTTATCCATTTCATGTTGGTGTAAACACTCAAGCAAGCTGTGTTGTAACAGTGACTCATCCTGGTAAATGGGCAGGTACACAGCCAGCAGAGGCCAGTGAGAATGAAAGTCCCAGGAGAATGGGAGGCTGGGAGCTTCTTGTCCCTGCAGAATCCTCACTCTTTGTGGAAAACATTGGAAAGTATTTGCCCCTGGGGAACTGGGGATCTGTGTAATATATATTTCTCTGGGCGTAGTCTGCCTCTGTGTAACTATCTCTGTAAATTATGCCAATTACATTCTCTTTACCTTTTCTGTGGATTGATGTCTTTCCATTGTTCATATCACTGTCTCATGACAACACTTTCATAGTTACAAATTACCCAAAGGAAAGTCACATCCATTTACACTCCCACCAAACATCTATGCATTACAGTACCTATCTCCTCCATGTCTTGCAACATTCAGTTTTACCAATGTTTTCTCTGCCAATCTGTGATTAAAATAAAAAGATATCTCTTTTTGGTTTTTATTTGCATTTCATTAGTCATTAGCAATTAATTTTTTCTAATTAAGAAGTTTACATGATTATTGGATACTACATTTCTTCTTTTGTGTATCTCCTATTTGTGGTCCCTATTATTTTTTTGACTGGTCTGTTCACTATTTTAAAAGTTGGTTTGTAGTGATTCAATGTATATCTGAGTCTGCATATTTGCTACAAAATTTTTCTCAGTGTGTTGTTTTCTAGTCCTATTCATGGAGATGAGGTTGTTGTTTGCATATTACCAAAAACCTGAAACACATGATTTCTTTTATAAATGTCTACTTTTAGGGTTTTTTTAATTAAAAAATTTTAAATTATCTAACATTCCAAACACAACCATCACTCAGTTTTAATATTTTATCATATTTGGACATTTAAATAATATATTTAGATTATTTAAAAAAATAATCATGCAGATGTTTTTTGTATCATGTAAGATGTCTTACAAAACAGCAGGATGGCCTGTGTGTGACTCAGGTTATCACACTGGCTACATTCCATGTGAGGTTGGGGCATATGCCGAGAAACACCAACAAGCACATGGAACTGTTTTTCTTAGAGTAGTGTCCTGATCTCAGATCACAATCAGGGTGGCGTCCCCTTGGTACCAGTGGCCTGGTGGCGGGCTTTGGACTCCAGCTCTTCTATAATCAGGGTGGCGTCCCCTTGGTACCAGTGGCCTGGTGGCGGGCTTTGGACTCCAGCTCTTCTAATTACTCACATTGTCAAGGCACCTGATTCTCAGCATGAAACCCCTTTCTACTTGAGATGTCTAGAGCAGTTTCAATTTCCCACCACTGAATTCTGATAAAATTTTATTCAATATTCTCCCCCTTTTGCCTAGAGACAACACTGCTTAAATGTTTTTTATAAGAGGCAGAAAGAATAGTGTAGCCATTCTGAGCACTATGAGGCAGAGTCCAAACCCCAGCTGTGCTGGTTCCTGGCTTCATGACCTTGGGCAAGTCATTTGTGCCTTCAGTTTTCTCTCGTGTAAAATGTAACAACACCCCACAAGTTTATTGAGAAGTCCATCTCCTAAGAGTCTGGGTTTTAACATCTATATAGGTTCAGGAGATGAGAGTCTGAGGTCAGATGAGGCCATTAGATGGGACTGAGACCCATACAAGGACAAAAAGGGCTCCAAAAGAACAGGAAGAGACCCTGAGGTGAGAGAACTGGGCCTGTGGGAAAAACACTGAGGAGGCTGGAAGGGCTAAAGTGTGGGTGAAGTTGGTGAGGTTGGCAGAGGCCAAACGATGAAGGGCCCTGTAAATCTGGGTGTAAGGAATTTGGGTTTTACTTTACGTGTAATGGAAGTCATAAAGGGACTTAAGAAGGCAAGTGACATAATATGGAGAATGAATTTCTAGGGGCGAAGTGGACATAGGAACATCAATCAGGAGGCTAATTTAATGATCCAAGTGAGATTTGGTGATTTACATCAGGGTGGTAGTGGTGGAGGGAGAGGAAATGGATTTCAGTTCTTGGGGAGGGACTGGCAAGAGTAACACAGCCCTACTCATGGAAAAATGCAATGCTGGGCGAGATCTAAGGACCACAGTTACAGTGGATCAAGTACTGGAATTGGCAAACAAGGTAGGGGTTAGGGTTCAGAAACTGGCAGAACCCCGGTTTCTAGTGTTAATACATGGAATCAGGCATGAAATAACGTCCTCAGTCCTGAGCTCTTGCTGTGGAAGACAGATGTTTAATGGCATCTCACAGGGAGTGCCATGGCTCTGCTCAAAACAGAGTCCTTAGTTGGCTCAGATTCCTGGAAGGCAGACTGCATGATAGGCAACACAACATGGAGACAAAATAACAACTACAAATAAATAACACTGCTTTTCTAAAGAGAAGGTATTTATCAAAGAGAATATAGATTCACACAGTGCTCCTTCAGAAACAGAGCTTTGCAACATCATTCGGCCAGAGGCAGCATTTTTCATAGCATTTTGAGTAAAATAAAACCCACAGAAATCAACTAATACTCAATGTTCATATATCATCCTTGGGTGAATGCAAAAACAAATACTGAAAATAATAATGAAGGCCTGAGAGCAAAGCCTAGACATCCTAGTTCAAGACTGAATGAGTTAATAAGGGTAACATGATCACGGAATTCAGACTGGATTGCTTACAGACAGAGCACTCTCTTAGTCCCTCAGAGAATTCCTGATGCTGACATCAGAATCCACTATAATGTGTATATAATTTGATATGGAAAACTTGATTTTATTATCAGTACTCAAGATGAACTGAGTCCTTCTCAGTAAAACTCTGCTATCCTAGAATAAAATCCAACCTTTACTATGGCCTTCCAGCCTCTTAAATTTCATCCTATTAACCTCCCCACCGTTATCTCCTACCACATTCCCAGAGACATGCCACTCCAGCCCCATTAGTTTCTGCTATTTCCTAACATGCCAGGCTTGTTTACACCTCCAAATCTTTGTTTCTTCTTCCTTCGACTCTCCTCTCTGAGCATTCTCTAACTCTTCAGTGTGCTCTGTTTTGATTCAAAGACTTGCAGCTCTGCAAGGACTTTACCTTGTCCATTATTGTTTCTTAGGGCCTGAAACAGGAGGACCTGGTATCTAATAGGTACTCAACTAAGGCTGTTTTTCTGGCACTCTTAGAAAGGTTGTAAACAAACACCCTGTAATATATGCCTTTTTGCTTAAACTAGCTAGAGTGAATTCTGTTGTTGAATCCTGACCAGTTCAGATTATGACACCAGAAGTGAAAGTGGGAAACAAACTCAAGGCCTTGGGGATCTAGGATTGGCAATCTGATTTAATTGGGGCTGAAGGCAGGGTAACCTAATTACCATTGGTGACTGGAAGACTGTTAGATGGGCACCAAGTGATGAAATAATTTTTAAATCATCACTTGTGGTCATCTGGAATAAAGTGGTTTTTCAAGGCCAGGCTTTGGTGGGCTGAATGTGATAGGACAATACAGGAAACATAAAAAATAAAAGTGTGGCAGTCTTTTATAATGTTACAAGAAATTTAAATAAAGGACAGCCTTAGGGCTTTAATATATTTCTCAATATTCATGATTCACTGCCATCCCTTTACTAACTCACACACAGTATTACATGAAATTTTCTATGATCAGTTAGCTGAGAAAGAAATTCAGGTCTTGTCATTTATATTTCAGTAAAGCCAAAATTAAAAAAAAAAATTGAAGCCTGTTTTATATATGTACATGATTTGCTGTTACCAGCCAGAAGTGGATATAGTTTTAGAAACCACTGTAGTAGTTTTATAAACTACAATAGTCTATAATTGTTCCTTTGTGTAGCTGATTCTCCATTAGATTTT